TCTTCTAGCAATCTGTACTGCTTTCTTTACTCCCTCTCTTCTGCTCCCCTACCACATCTCCAACCCTTCCCAAGGTACAAGTATTTTGGCAGAACTGCTTCCTGTATCAAGGTTTCAACTGCTCGCTATCAGAAAGCACACTTTGAGCTTTTTTTGGTTGGTTCTTTTTCTTTGCAGGCAGATGTGTGAGTAAACTGGCTGATTTTTTTTTCTGTTTTCCAATGTTTTCTGCAGTGTTTTTTCATTCCTGTGTGTTTTCTAGTGCCTTCTAACAAGTACCCTGTCAGCAGATTACAAATCAGCAAAGTGTAATTTTATTATTGAACTTGGCAAAGTATTTTGGGGTGCATAAGGCACTCTGCTACTGAAAGCTGCATTAAGCTGGTCTAGTCTATTCACTGCACACAGAGCAGCCATCTCTAACTCAGCTGGCCGATTCTCCCAAAGCCATATTGTAATTTTAGGACTGTAAGTAGCATTTAACTAGCAAAGAGTTCCTGCCATACCAAGCTATTACATTAAGCTAAAGCAAATAGAGCAAAAATCAAACTCACAAGGGTTCAGAAGCAAGATTTAAAACATGATCATGTCCTATTTTCCAGAGACATTAGGCCTGTGGTTTTCTTGCAAACACTAAAGCATTTTGAAAGCAAGAGAGATTTGGGAGGGTAGATGGAGTATTAAGGAGGGGAGAGCCCTTTGATTTTCATGTAACTGGCTTGTTCTGTATTAGCAGATATAGCCGCTGCCCAGTTGTGAAGAAGTTCTTTTTTTTTATAAGTATTTCTCAGTTACCAAGGGTACTTGGAGGCTTAGGGTGGGAGCCCTTTTCACAGATGTAGCAGTGTAAGTACTAATACGACGTGGGGGGTTAGAGGTCTGCTCCAATGAGTTTGAATCTTGGATGAATAGCCAGCCATAGCTACGATTATCAGCAAGTAGCTTAGATGTGGCGAAAGTGTGACCCTGAAAGTTCAGCCAGCTTCCTTCTGAAAGAGGTCCTGAAAAGGGTGAAAACATGTAGAATTATGCTCATTTCCTTTCTTATTTATGGTGTGTAAAGAATAGGGATTTTTTTGTCCTTGCATACATTTTTTTTACCTGAGAGAGATCAAGAATGTTAAGCCTCCGTATCTCTGGAGGAATTGCAGAGATGCTGATCTGGGAGGGGAATGGTAGGGTGGGGGGGTCACTTCTCAGCCATTGAGTTTTAAACAGTCAGAATTTAAAAAAAAAATCAATTGCCCTTTAAATCGTGTAAGGGTTTCTGTGGTGCCTCGTGATTCCTACCAAATCTCTACTTGTTCACAGATTCCTCCAGCATAGACACAAACTGAATTTTTAATGTAAAGAGCCAAGGCGAAGGCAGCAGTCTTTTTTAAAAAAATCCAGCCATTTAGGCATTCTTAACGCATCCTGAATAAATATAGGCCTGAACATGTCTTCCCTGCCCCCTCACCATCTTTGGGAAGTCATTGTGAAGCAGGACCCATGGAGATCACAGATCCCGGCATGCAGTGCTCCATCTGGATCCATGCAGGCTGGCTGGAGTGTCCCAGCATGCTAGAACATGTGTTCTCCCCAGGCAGCACCCTACACTTGTAATGCAGGTGGCTGTAAACAGCTTCATTTTCTGCAGATTAGGCGTGGCCCACCAGCCTTCTGGCTAGCTACCAATGGGACCTGTGGCAGAGTACAGGGTGGCTGCCCTGTCGAAGTGTGTACATGTTCCTGGATCCTTTTCATGCAGCCTTTTCTTTTCCTCATACAGTGGGAAGTGAGAAATTAAAAAGTATAAATTAACAAATGAGACCCAGTGATTAGAGCCGCAGTCATTTGCCAGAGTTGGAATCGCTCTTTGTGCCAATGTAAACAGCCATCACAACTCCCTACTGCCGACTCCCCCCGAGTGTTTATTTAAGCCAACACATTGCTCTGCTAATTGGATAACATTCCATGTGAAAATAGGCCTTTAAAACAAGAGCAGCAGCAAATAAAAACAGCTGTAGCTGCAAAAATACTAGGAGCTACAGCCTTCAGAGGAGAGAAGACACCCAACTTAAAATTATGCGTTCTTCCTTTTCCCAGTACAAGTCCATATAGTTTAGAGAGAAAAGGAATAATAGGAGAAGAGCAGTGGTGACAATAAAATAGTGAATGATATAGAGAAGGCAAGCCTGCTTAACCCTTCCTCATAATGCTTGAATAAAGGGATGGTCAACAAAACAGGCAAGATATTTACAAATAGCATTTAAAAGCAAAGACAGAGAGAGAGAGAGAGTGTGCGCGCGCGTGTGTGTGTGTGTGTATGTGTGTGTGTGTGTGTGTGTGTGTGAAAATAAAATTTTAAGTGGTTAATTAACCTGCAGGACTCATTACTGCAAGATGGCGTTGAGGCAAGAGCTTTTTAATATAAAAGCATATAAAGCCTTTTGCTTTGTAATAGAAACCATTAACAAAGGTGGGCTGAAAAAAGCATCTCCCCTTTATTGGTCAGTGAGTCACTAATACGAGAATTCTTGCACCTTCCTTTGATGCAGCTGGGACTGGTTGGTCTTGGAAGTGGGACTCAGAATAATGTTAATGAGGTAGTCTGGCCAAGTTCCAGAGTGACTGACTATATGTGGTTAGAGATGGATGAACTTTTTTTCATATAATAGTAACTTTACCCACTGAAAAATGCAGTTTCGATTTAACCAAAGCTATTCCAAAACACAGATCAAATTCAGCAAATAGTTTTCACTTTAAAAAGGAGGCAGAACATTTTGAAAAAATAAGCACATTTTCTTTTGGTGTTTTCAAAATGAAACATTTTGATTTTCATTGCAAAACTGAGCTATACTTTAAAGAATTAAAAAATAGTGTAGGGTCTCAGGGTGGGAGAGGTAAATAACCCAACGTGAACTGTTTGGTTTTTGAGTTCAACAAAACATTTTGGTCAACTTAAAATGATTCCTGTATCACTACCACCTCTTCCATCTCTTTGTAGATTTTTGGTACAGGCAGTGAACAAATATTCACACACCGCTGCTTTAAAATAATGTACATTTAAGCCTCTGAAGCTTTAGTTGGATAGAATATTCAAATCCCTACCTTCAGTTTTGTTTAGTGTTATTGGATGCTGTTAAACAGACCTTATATTCCATCCTAGATGTGGTTGCATTTCACTACCTGATAAAATGATCTGCAGTGGTTTTGCATCCAGGTAAGACAGGGTTGTCAAACTCATTTGGCCCCATGGGCCAAATGAGGGGTTTGGGGCTGATATGTGGGTCACATAGGGCCCACAGACCAGCCCCATGCACCAGAGCCAGCACACGGGGCCAGTCTGGCATGGGCACCTCATTCCTGGATCAGTGCTGCAAAGCCCTGGTCTCAGGTTCATGTACAGCTGGCATGAGTTGTGCACTTTACGAAGGGCCAGTTCCAGACAGTACGCAGGGACTGTCTCTGGTCCTAATTCAGACTGGCCCCAGGGCCAGCATACAGGACCAGTCTGGCATGGGCACTGCATGAAAGGTACATCCTGGACCAGCCCCCTATGCTCTGTGTATCACCCGCAGCACCAGGACCAGCTCTGAATGCCATATGCAATGCACAGGGCTGCAGCCAACACATGCCACATGTGGAGTCAGTCCAAGACCCACAGGCCAGCTCATAGGGCTCCCTGAGCCAGATCCAGCCTGCATGCTGTATCTTTGACACCCCCAATGTAAGACGATGGATGGACTTGTTCCACGGAAGTTAGTTCACAGGCCCCAGAAACAGGCCTTATCTTAACTTTTAACTGACACAGTTAAAAATGCATTTTTGATTCCATCTATATCTGTACATAGCAACCTGTCAGTTTGTTGTAAAGCCTTTTGTCCCTTGGGATGAACTGTACTATAGAAATGTTTGTTCTAGGTGTCTGTGTGTTTGCATAATGGAGTCTAATCCTGCAAGGTCCTGTGCACCTTCAACTCCTATTAAAGTCAGTAGAAACTGAGGACAAAAAAACATCTCCTTGGATCAAGCCAGTGTTCCCTGAACATTTCCATTGATCAGCTTAGGATATAGAAAGTCTTTTGTGTTTATGTTACACCAGACACTCGTATATTCAATGTCACTGTAAGGTCACGGCCACACCGATGTTCTTACGCAATATCGACTAATAGCGAGGCATCTTGGCCTTTCTTGTAAAAAATAAACTCACAGCAATGAAATAGGGGAAAATTCCACCTTTGAATTCTGGTGCTTCTATGTTGTCCCTGTGATGTTTGTCATCACCAGAACTTGCAGAAGAGAAAGACTTCTCCTTACCAAGAGCTGGAGTTCTTGAAATGTATTGGCTAAGCCACCCTGCTTTAAAATAGCTGTCAGTCCCAAGGCAACACTCTGTTTCATGCTGTCACTTTGGTGTACCAGACAAGTGACATGGTGAGTGGGGTGTTTTCTTGAAGTCATGAGAGCACTACAGAGTTCTTCCAACTCTCTGTAAAAGCTGCACTCCCAGCTTATGCACCTGTGATATTATGTCATGTACCTCTGGAAGCGCTATAACATTCCTCCTTGCTTGCATGCCCAGTGTGTGCTGATCTTCATTTTCAGCTGTACACTCCCTCTCTTGGGTTGCTCCCACCCACCACCGTTCCTATTTTAACCATGTACGCAGAGTCCTTCAACCATCTCTTGTCCAAGGAGATGCTTTCATAAGGAACTGTATTCGAGCCTACTGTTCTTCCTCACAGAAAGAGCTGTCCCCTAGAGCAGGCAGCTGTATTGAGCTGCCCTCTAGAGTGCGGGAAGGCTTCATTAATGAAGGAGTTTAGCAGCATCAGCATTGTGCATAAAACTCACAGTTTCAGTATTTCGAGAGGGTCCCTAGGAACCTTTTCCATTGTGGGGGGTTGGACAGTGCAGGGATAAGGCACCATAAAATAAACTGAATAGATGCAGTTGTCTTTTTTTCTTTCTCCCTTGACAAAGAATTTATATTCTCTCTCCTTTTAATTCTGCAGAAAGCCTTCAATGCCCTGTGCCACAGCACCCACTTGTATGGCAGGAGGCTGGTCCTGGAATGGGCTGACACGGAGGAAACAGTGGAGGCCCTGAGACGGAAAACTGCTGAACATTTTCACGGTAATGTAGCAGTGTCTTGCCCGGTCAGTAAATGTACCTCACACTGGCATGTTCCCTCCTATTTGACTGGTAATCTGGCATGCACTGTTGATTCTCACCAGCCCTTTTCTGAAGGATTGGCTGTTATTGTGGGTTGGCAAGTAGCTGGTGGGACCTGGGAACATAACTGCAAGGGGTATTGCATGGTGAATGCAACAGTCTCAGCCCACAGAAATGTGAAAGCCAAAGGAATCTCCTTTCCTGTGAGAGCTGTCTGCACTGAATATAGAGAAAAGCCACCAATAGTTTGAACTGTTTTAGGTTCCAGATAAGGTGAAGTGGCAGAAAACCAGCCTGACCACTCCCTTGCTTGTGCTTGTCTGTGTGGGTTAGCCCTTCAGATGCCAGCAGTTTCAGTGCATCCCATTACATGGCATTCACCCAGTGAAATGGCTTTCCACATGCCACATTAGTTTACTGCAGTGTGAAAGTGCCAAGGGGCAGGTGAGGATGAGAAGGCTCTTTCTATACCATTGGGCCTCTTTGAGAAATGAAGTAGCAGACTACATGCTTTGGCACAATGAAATGCCACATTCCCTCCAGCTATGTGTTAAGGTAGTACATTTCAGTGCCAAGAAAGGATGATTTGCAAGAAATACAGGCATCCAGGAGGAGGAGGATGAAACTCATCTCTGGCTCAAAGGAAAAAATGGAAGAAAGAGAACAGTTGAGAGCTGAGCAGCCTTTTGGCTCAGGTTTCAGAGGCTGGTGATTCCATGGATAAGCCCACTGTAGACTTCTATTGACAGCCATTGACAGGGGCAGATGCATCAATTGGCAAATATTTGTGTAAGGAGCGATCCCCTGGGTTCGAGGACTAAGGTGGAGATCAATGCTCTTCCTTGAGCCTTTCTGTACAACCTCCTTCCGATGCACTCCTGTCATTTGCCTCCAGGAAAAAGGGTTGAGATAAGCAATTCCAGTGGAGTGGGGAGGACAGCACTTTTAAATATGTAGAGGTGAAAAGAGGCAAGCCTTGCTTCCTGTAGTCTCCTGACCCTAATAGATCTGTCCCTTTCTCTCTGGAGCAGCACCTTGCACACCCTCTGGTTTATTGCAGGTATTTTGGTCAGAAAGATCAGGTCTGCAGTGAAACGGAGGAGGCTGGGTACTGTTAGATTAGGATGCAAAAGGGTAACAATCAGATGTTGATGAAGAGCTAGTAAGTTCAGGGAATAACAACCTTAGCTATCAGCATGACACTAAAAGGGAGAGTGAGTATTTCTAGGGAGTCATGTGGACATGCTTGTGAACAAGGTTGCAGCACAAGGGGGTGCCAGTGCACTAGGAGGAAGAGTATGTTTAGGCTTGGGAGTAGAGGGTTCTCAAGGTGACCTACATCTGGCCCAGGTTTGAAGACGGGAGCTGCAAGGAAGATGACTCATTGGTCCCCTTTGTACTTAGGACTTTCAACCTCCTGTCTTCTCAATCCATGGGAACCTTAAATCTCCAGGAGCCATTTGGAAATCTGATTGTGACTTTTAGTGGTGACAACAGATCTAATGCAGGTTACCCCCTCCTCCCTGCCCACCCTGTCTTACCCCAAGCAGGACTACAAGCAGCTCCCACCAGACCCCAGCAGGTGTCCTGCTTGGTGGGTCATTGGGAACTGATGTAGCAGAGAATAACTCGACAGAAGACATAGGTTGGGAGCCAAGTAAGCATTGGATCCTCAAAATCTCAGCTATGGGATGAGGGAGGGTTAAGTTATAGCCATCAGGGATTGAAAACAAGAGCAGAGGAGGTGTTCATCTGGCCTCAAACCCTTCTTGATGTTGAGGTGCTAGAAAAGAAAGAAATAGACCAAGTGATTTTGTCCTTGTAGCTCCCCATATACCCACAGAAAAAAATGCTCCAGACTAATTGCTGCTTCTAGCTGGCATTCAGCTAGTTCATGCTTGGCAAAGTTTTCTGGGGAAGATGTAATAGGCTTGACCCGCTATATTGGAATCAGGGCTTGAAGCAATGTCTGTTAGAGCATCTGCTTAAAAGGAATGTTCATAACAAAACGTCTCTGGGGCACTGCAGGCTAGTGCATTGTCACAGAAAGGTTTCTGGATTCAGTCTTTCCAGGGAGACAGCTGTTTCTTTTTCATGCTTTAAGTGCAGACCCTAACAGAAGGGGCTATCTAGGTTTTATATAAAATACCCAGTACAGCAGCCCTGATCCTGTTTCAAGCCTCCTGGCAATTTGGTAAGGTTTGTAAATATTTAATGATGATGATGTTGCCTGAGATCCCAACTGCTTTTGGCCCCTGGTTTTACTTGTTGCCTGAGATCCCTGTGCTTTGACTATATTTGGGATACTTTGCTTGCTTTTGAGTGGCCTGGAGTTTTCCATTCTAACATCCTACCTTGCACCTTATTCCACCACTGTAATAATAAGGGAAATGAAGAGAAATAAACACTACAGCTACATCTCTCCCTTGCATAGCAGTTGCTCATAGTATTCCATCACCATACTGTTTCCCAGTATAGCCCTTCATCTGAGTTGGGGGCAGGGAAGCTGATTTTGCATTGGTGGAGCCAGACATGATGTGGTCATGTGCTGTGCTATACCCAACTTTGTGTGCCAGTGCACTGCAGTCTTGCTCTGAAATCCTTCCTCTGCTCCCCTTCTAATCCAGCATTGGCCTTCTGGTGCTGTACTCTGCATGATTGTTGCAGTGGGGCTAAGAGCTTGTGCAGGGAGTGAGCTGAGCCCATGCAGATCATTACATGAAGCCACATACGAATTTCTGAAAACCAAACCTTTCTACCAGTCATTCTTTCTTCTCTCCCTAGCCCTTCTATCCCCACGCAGCTAGTTGTTTCGCTGGCATAAACAGCTGTAACCACCCCCATACTCTGCTGTCCTGCTGTGCTGACCACAAGCACCCATCGAGTATGGCTGAGCTTTAGATTAGCGGAGCAAGTCACACAGTGAAACGCTTTCCATTTGTTGCCAGCCCTGA